TTCCCCCTTCAATTTGCAGCTGTACGTGGCTGCGAGACCTTTGGGGCTGTCAGTGTTCATTACCCAGCTCCTCAGATGCCTCAGCAGCCCTTTCATATCCATCTCCTCAGATGCCTTGGCAGCCCTTTCATCTGAAGGAGCTAGGTTTTTCACTCACTTATTATCATATCCTGATCTGAGAAAATTACTGTTTGCTTTAATTATGAAGAAGCCTTTTTTCCCCCCCCTTTTTTGCCTAACTGGTAAAGCCAGCATGAATAATTCAGGCTCAAACACAAGTGCCTTATCCATTGGGGAGCCAGCAAGTGATGCTTTGGGTTGCTTATAGAGGTGTTTGTGGTTCCCCGGCACAGCTGTATAGCTATAGGCTGTACTGTGTGCCCTGCCTGTCGCTTCATGCCGGGGTGAGTCACTGCTCCATACCTTGAATTAAGCTGCAGACCTGGGCTGCTCCCACCCTGGGCAAGGCTTGCTCCCTGAAATACTTTCCTTCACTCCCTAAATTTAAGCAAAGTGGGGGTTTATCACTCTGCATAGCCTTAGAAGCTCATTAAACAGGACAATCTATCAAAAAAAAAAAAAGATTTTTGTGCATCAAGGCAGGGGGAAAAAATGCAACATGATACAGAGGAGTGGTGGTGAACAAATCCACCATAAAGAAGAGGTATAAAAAAATCCATGTGAAGCTTAGCCTTACCAGAGAGATGCGCTGCTAAAAAATGTGTATTACAGAAAATAACACTGCTTTCTGGAAGGGAGAGAAAAAAAGCCATCAAGGTGTTTGAATCTTTTTCCAGCATAAAATGTTTCACGGTTTAAAAGTTGTATAATCACAACACTGCAATTCTGCTCCAAATATTAGCAGGGGAAAAAAAAAAAGGCGCTGGGGATATAAAGGGCTCTTGTCATTTTGGTGGCCAAATTAAACAGAAACTGTTCTTGGTAAAGTCAGGTGGGTGGGCTTTTCAAGCCCAAAACATTGTGATTTGTAACAAAAAGCAAAATCTATCATCTTTTAATGATCTTAATGGTTAGGTTTTCGTATTGATCTCATTCCTCTGCTCTCAGTGGATTCACATTGGGACCATCCATGAGACCTGCACCTTTTTTTTTCCATGTAGAAAGGGTTTCCTTTAGAAACCTTTTCTAAAGGAAAACACCCAAATTTATGGAAATTGCAAAATGGGAGGGTGTCTGACAATGGCCAAGAGCCATTTTGCAGCCTGTCCAGCCAGGGCAAAGAGCATGTGTTCTCACATTACCCTGGCCAGGGCTCCTGGGCATTGCAACACTGGGAATAAAATAAGGGAATAAGTCTTTGAATAACAGTTTAGCACCCCAGCAGGTTTTTTTTAGGACTGGGAGAACTGGAGGGCAGGGTCCACATTTAATATCGTGGTGTTGGCACCTTACCAAGATGTTTGAATTGTCATATAATTTAGTATTATTTGATGATGTTTCCAGTTTGATAAAAGCCTGGAGACCGGCGGGAGCAGGGTTTGCTCTGGGGCTGCCCATCAAGCCACGGCTTTCTCCCACTCTGCTGCTCCGAATTCCCTCCTTGGCAGCTGACGCTGGGGTGGATGTTCACCTCTCAGTGCTTTCTTTTGCAGAGGTGCCGGTGGAGAAACTGGCCTCCATGGCATCATTGCGGAGCCTCAACCTGCGGGCAAACCCCGTCGGCCCCGAGGTGCGGCTCCTCGTCCGTCCCCTCATCCCCTTCGACCTGCTGCTGTCACCGGAGGAGCCTGTCCCCAAAGCCTGAGAGGGTCTCGGGGTGCCCAGGCGAGCTATCCCGAGGGGCGACTGCCTGCGAGAGTGGTTTGGTTTAGGTCAGTCCCTGCTACGCCGCTGTTTCTGTCCCAAACCTGCAGTGAGGCAGCCAGTCCCTCTTTTTTTTTTTTTTTCCCCTTAATAAAAAGCAAGCAGCGGGGCTCCTCCGTGAAGGGGATGGCTCTGCCAGCTCCCGACGTGGGGAATCGCCCGCTTTGTGTTTTGCCAAGCGCTTGGGGAGGAAGCGGAGCCGGAATGCGCGCGGTGCAAGGTTTGGGTAAACTTGGGGGAGTTGGATGCTTGGCTGCATCCATCCTGCCTGGCCAGTGATGAGGAGCACCTGCTGTCCTAGTCCAGGGCTGGGTGGTGGGGGATGTCCCTGCAGCTGTAAGGTTCCCCCTTGAACTCCTGATATGGCAATGTGCCACGTGCCTGATTAAATATTTTCCTGTTACATGTGGGGTTTTGGGGTTTTTTTTTTGTATTTGCTAAATCTATGAGTTACCAGTTGTCTTCTCCTTAAAGAAGCCCCTTTGCAGATCCCCACAGCTGCTTGGTGCAGCTCAGGCTGACGCCTCTGGCTGGATTCTGCCCGAGCAGTATTTCTCTGGATTTCCCCAGGGAAATTTTTTTTCCCCACGGTTTTTTCATCATGGAAATCAAAGCAACCCAGTGTCAGTGGGTGCCCACGTGCTGCTCACTGCATGGGTGTCCCCAGAGGTGTACACCTACCTCCTGGGTGCTGTGGGTCTTCAGGACGTGCTGCTTTCTCTTCCAGGAAGAAATGGGCTGTGGGGCTCAGGATACGGCCCAGGCAATGTGGCTCCTTGGTGGCCTGGAGGCTACTGCTAGGCACACTGGTGTCCCTTGGCAGCTGGCTGCCTGCAAATAAACTCCTGGGAAAAATCCCGGGCATTATCTCAAAATTCCTTGTTTAAACATCTCCTGTGTTTGCTCCTTCGCATTTTTAAGGGACAAATGCTTCCCAATGGTGTGGGCTGGCTGGGGGCAGCCGGGAAATGCTGGAAATATTTGACTTCTAGACTTGCCAAAGCCAAACTTTGGTAAAAGACCATGGTAAAAGGGGGTTTGTTAATGTTGGCAATGGTGGAGGAGCCGGAGTTGAGCGGCACAGCTTTGGGCCAGGACCAGCATCCCTAAGGACCCTGCTGCTTTTCCCCACCGCATGGGTCATTTACATGGCGGGGGGAGGACTGGGGTCCTCACCCACTTGTGTTGGGGTTCCTGGCATGTTCCA